GCTAAGGTTAGGCTCCCCAGGAGAAAGGGGAATTTGCGAAATCTTACAAAAAAAAAAAAAAGCATGTTAACTTGCAGCAGTTGCAAGCCCACAGGACTCAAACGTATTCGATAGCTAACGTGTCTTTCAGAGCAGCAGGACTATGTGAGTCTCATCAGTGCATTTTACCTGAATGAAAGACCAAATTATACATCCCAGTCCACAGAAATCCACAAAGTCAACAGCAGAAAACTTCCATGTTCAGTGAAAACCACCCATTGTCAAGTGCAGCAGAATAGGAAAAAAGTACATGTTAGGACTGAATTTCTGGCTATGAAACATCATCTGAAGCTGACTTCTTATAAAGCAGCTTTGCCTGCAGGATGTAGATGGCATCAGGAGTGCAGTGAATGTGAACCTGTCTCACCCTTACTCTTTGAATCAATTCAGGCTATTGCCATTACTGCATGCACAGCACAGCAAACTACTGCTACACAAGCACGTCAAAGGCAAGCATTATAATTTTTTGCTGCCTGAAAGCAATATATCATCCCAAATACAATTAATACAGCAAAAGGCTTATTGCCAACAAAAGCAAAACACAATGTAGATATTTTTATTCCTAGCACACTGAGCATTCACACAAAGAAAGAACAAAAGTTCTGATTTAAATTTGGCTTAATCAATTCAGTGAAAATTTGTTTGCGGAACTTGAGAAATCCTTAAATGCTCACTGCAGATGTTGGCTTGTAGGACCAGAAATTCTCATCCATAATAATATGTTTCCCTGAAGCTCTATGGTTTATGGCACTGAAGCAGATATTTACAAAGTGAAATTCTGGTCCTAATTAAGTTGGTAAAGGCTTGCCATTGATTTCCATTGGGCCAGTACCACTCCTGCTCTAATCAGAATCACCTAATCACCTTTTAATTTATTTTTCTTTTACTGGAATATACTGTAAGATATTGTATACGTGCTGCATTAACTGCAATTGGCAAGCTTGGATATCAGGAGGCACTGCACTTTGAGATCAGTGAAGAAAGCAGTGAGAGGAAATGCTGGTAGCCTTCTAAATTTCCCAAGAGAATCAAACTTTAAACCATGTTTTCCTTAAGAACAGTAATTACACTTTTACCCTGAAAATGTCACTGTCCTTAACAAGCCTGCAGAAATGTCATTACAGGGTCACTAACAGAATATTCCAGGATGGGGAAATCTACTGTTTAATCACTGCAAGTTGTGGGGACTCTGATCCTAACCACACGAGTGGGATGATCTGGAGCAGCATACTTCAGGCCAAAGTAAATTGGAAAGGATTTGTTTTTTCCAATGATTTACTTCATTACCTTCGATTCAAGTAATTCTAGAAATAATCGCCAAGTCTGAATACTCCATGGCAAAACAGATGTGAGCTCTGAGAGAGAACTGCTTGGGTGCCAAGCTTACAAGAGAACTGCAGGGGCAGCCAGGTGTCTATCTCCCTGCTGACAGAGCACACTGTATCAACTAACTGGAATTTGCAGCCATGCTCCACTGTGGTTTTGGAACATATCAAAGCAGACTTGCTATCACAGACCTTAACGGGGAGCAATCAAAGACGCTGGCAGTGTAACAGACTCAGTTCTACCTCTCAGGCCTGGAAGTAATGGAAGGAAGTTTCAGCACCAACTGCAGACTCCAGTGTGCTTCGGCAGAGCTTAAACTGCTGTACCCTTTTCACAGAAGCATTGTATCTTGTTCTTGGTGACCACTGCACAGACCTCTCAGGTCTGAATGTGCTCCCAAAGCCAATCCAAACCAGCACAATTTATAGACCCATTGGAAATGCATGGCTTCTGAATGCTGGAGCACTTGGGGACAGCAGAGGGCTCAGCTGTGAACATGTACAATGGGGAATGTGTATTTTTTTAGTGTTAGGTGTCAGTTTCTGCAGTGCTATGAGACCACTGAAAAAATGGCTTCCTACATGTAAAGCAGCAAGAAAGGTTAACTTCCTAAAAGTTAAACATCTCAAGAAATAAATGGTGGTGAGCCCTGCCTACAAGAGATGATGGCTGCTGCGGTCTGGCAGAGCTGGGAGACAGCACCGCTTCAGTTCAAGAAATCTTTTTTTACTCACTGTCAGTTACGTATTTCTTCTCGTTTAAAAATGGCATTACAGATTCCACTGGCAATAGCAGAAAATTAATTTCTCTAAAGTCCCAGAGTGAAAGCTCTGCTTCACGTACAGACTCAGCTGATCCAAATACTACTTTATTTTCCTTTCTTCTCCTTATAAAAGAAAACAAAATCAAACTCCAACTGTACATACGCAGACATGGAAGACTTCCAACGCAACAAGAGAGAGTAAAATTGATGAGATCATGAAAAATTCAGTCTTATAGGCAGTTACAGGTACCAAGCATCATCAGAGAGAGGATGAGACAGTGCATGGGAGATTTGCTCCCTTACGTTGCACCTTCTGAAGCCCTGGCTGAGTTCTACTACATGAGAAGCATGGGCAGTCCTAGAAAATGCCATTTTCTAGGAAGTCCAAGGAACTCAGGGCACAGCTCCTGTGGTGCAAGTGAGAACATGCAGAAAACACATAAAAAATGCGTCACATTTCATCACATGTACACAGGACACATGCTTGGTTATGTGACACTGCACAGAGCAGAAAGCATGAGGATCCCAGAGACATCAGGTGGAAGTGATCTCTGGGGATCCTCAGTCCCACCTCCCACTTGGAGCAGGAACATCATCAAATACCAGATCCATCCATTCCCTGCAACTCTCAGCTGGATGATCCCTGTTATTTTGTATATGGCTTTTAACGTCTTATTAAGTGCTTGGGAGTGTCTACACGGCAAACAGCCAGAAAGGAGAACAAAACAAGAACATCTCCAGGCCTTGCCTTCCAGCTTGGACAAATGAACAAGCAACAAGCGAGCAAGTTTCTGTTCTGAAACACTGAAGAAGAAATTAGCCCCTCTCTCAGCTCCTAATCATCCGTGAAAAAGGAACTGTGGTGCAAAGAATATGAAGTTAGCAGTCCTAAGGAGAACGTGAACGAGCGCTTTCCAGGCTGGGGCCCTGCCAATGGCAAGAATGCAACCCCTTGGGGTGCACGGAAGTCCCTTCTGCACTCACACAAGAACCCAAGCAAGGAATTTAAAAATGCCTCAGGGCAGAGCCTGTCATTAGGGCAGTTTCACCCTGCTGAAATAATAAATGAGGTAATGTATAAAACTGCCTTTGATTTGAAGATATTTCATTCATAAACAGACATAGCAGCAGCTCTGCTACACAATAAACTTTCTACATGATTTTAAAAGTCCCCACACCTGTCCTTGTAATAGAGCAGACCCAAGCAGTAGAGATTCTGTGGCACAGGGCACTCTTTCCAGGGACAGCTCTGCAAGTCAAAATGAGAGCTGGCAACTTCCAGGTCAATCTGACAGTGTAAACAGAACCTATGTACCCATGCATGCATTCAGGTGGACTAGAGCAACAGCTGCAATTGAAGAACTAGACAAACACTACTCTGCTTTTTGTTCAGAGTTTCCAGAAAAACTTTTATATCAATTCTCCACTCCCTTCTACTCATCCTCAGGATATGTGGAGCCTGGTTCTGGCTATATTTGTGTTGCTAGCTGAAAGAACAGCAGAACACGCCAAGCATTTAATAACAAAATTCCAGCCTTGTGACACAACCCAGTAATCCCAAGACTGGAAACTAACCTCATATTTCTACTCTGCATAAAACCCTAATCCTAACAAGAGCACCGCTATTTTTATTTTGCCTGAACGTTTTCTAAAGACGTGTATTTCACAAATTAAGACCAGGTTGAACTGGGTTATGTTACCTATATACATATGGCATCTACAGATTGCTAGAACTATGGCAACACAGAAACTGCTAGAACTAGTTTTGCTTATCTGTGTGCTCTTACACAGAACTAGTTGCAGCTGTATGAGCTGTTGTAATGGCAACTACTGGTCCTCCACCACCACAGGACCCCTCTCAGGAGACTCCTGTGATGAGGAAACAAATGGAATTACAGGGTCCTATGAAAACCATGGCTGGTCATAAGCACATATATAACAATTCTGATCTAGTATTACAAACGCAAAATAGTAAGGCAGGAGACTTATCAAGTCAAGACTCCAGTTTCAGGCCAGGACAAAGATGCCTCATAGATACGTCTAAGGACTAATGAAGACCTCTGAAAAGGGAGAGAACAAACTGTCACGACCACTAGCTGGCATTTCAACCACTGCTTCCCTTGATCATCTCCATCACCAGATTCCAAGAAGCTTCTCACTACTGCAGCTGTACTGGCTTCAACATCACTCAGGCTTGCAGTACATAAAGTACCATCAAATACCTGGAATTCGATTTTAAACCAGCTTTTATGGTCACTAACTCAACCGCAATGTGAGGATGTGCCTGTGTGTGCAGCACAAGCCTATGCTGCATCCCAGCATAGACAGCAGAATTGCTTATCTGTCTTTACTTATAAGTCACAAAATAGCAGAAAAATGGTGCCACTGCATGCAGTCCTGTACAGGTTCAGTATGTGACACACAAAACTGCAAATGTAGTTTTAGGGGAGGATAGAAATAACATTATGTTAAGCTAGTAGAAATAATACATGTGCCCGGTACATTCACTCCTATACCCAAAAGCACAAAAGATTTATACACCTATGAATATATATCCAGCTAACTATTCCAATTTTTGGACTGCTAACATGTGTAAGTGTTTAACCAGAGGGTCCATGCAATTTTGTGCTGTTGTGCCCTGGCACTACAACGTTTTCTGCAAAGCTCTATTTCCATCCCTAACTGTGATGGGCATATTTTGCAAAGACCATGATCTGGCCATACTACTGTAAAAGATATATAGAAGCATCACTTATGAAGAACCAAATTTAGATTCACCCTTGACTAGGTCATCTTTTGTGTTAGAAGGAAATACACTCAGTGTGAGAAACAGTCTTATGGATACACACAGAAGGCCAACTACTACACTTACTCTGCGAAATGACACCACGTAGAATGTATCCTCCCTTCTGCGAATAGCTTCAAAAAAATCTTGATAGCTCCTTGGAGAGGCATAATACACTTGCAGCTCATTCCCTGAGTTCCTGCTGAAATGAACGAGAGGAGATGGCAATTACTTTAGACAAGAAAGTTAACTTCAGTGAGATAATGACTTTAAAGACCTACTTTTCAAAAGATGAGTGGCTCTTCATCCATTGAGGAGCATGACAAACATTAAACACAGGTAAAGAAAGTTAAACTGATGGGTATTTTTTGAAAGTTAAAGGTGAATTAAAGGTCTTGCTGTGGGAAGCTTTTCCCAGCTTGATTTTCTTCATGCTTCTGAGGCTGGCAAATGCTTACTTGCTAGCTCAACAAAAAAAGAAGTTTCAAGTCAACCTAAAGGGTCTGAAAAATTGTGATGACTTCTGAAAACAAATTCTAGAATGAAACGTCATTCTGAAATTATTTTTTACTGTTGAAAATCCAAACACTTAAAATGAAAGAAGTGCAAAGTTATGCATAAACAGAACTTTTCATTTACTGTCAAATGACAATATTTGCTCTTGATTTTCAATTTAGGCAGTGAAGCAAATATAAGATACTTACGTAATTCTGGATTATCTTTTTCACAATTCGTTTTACTATTATATTATAAACTATTCTAAGCAAAACACTGGCATGCCATACATCATGGTACTTATCTACTGTTTATCTTGGAAAAGTGAGAAATCCCTAGCATATATTGCTATCATGTATATTTCCCCAATCCTATTCAAAAATAACATATTTCATTGAATCACAGAACTGACTAGGTTGGAAAAGACCTTTAAGATCATCAAGTCCAACCATTACCAGAGGACTTCAAAGTCCACCACTACACCATATAATTAAAGGCCTCATCTACACGGTTTTGAACACTTCCAGGGACAGTGACTCCCTGGGCAGCCTGTTCCAATGCCTGATCACCCTCTCTGTGAAGAAATCTTTCCTAATATCCAATCTAAACCTCCCCTCGTACAGCTTGAGGCCGCTGCCTCTTGTCCTGTCACTTGTCACTTGGGAGACCGACCCCCACCTCACTCTATCCTCCTTCCAGGTAGCTGTAGAGAGTGATAAGGTTCCCCCTGAGCTTCCTCTTCTCCAGCCTAAACAACCCCAGAATTTAATCAGATTGGAAAGCTGTACTTACACAAACCATTAGCTGGAATTTTAACCAGTCATTTTAATTTTTTCCCACTTTAATAACATACTGTCTGTTTGCAGTATTTGTGGCAAAAAACACTGATCAGCTATCCCTCCCAAGCTGTCTTCTGCTGACCCAGATTTTAAATTATGGTGGCTAATTTAGATTATTTTGGTATGTTTCTAAAATATATATATAACTATGCACCCAAAATAAGGCACAAATCTATCATCAATTGATTTTCTTGAGCAGCAGTAATACTAGACTGTCATTATCTCCTCTTTCACTGCTAATACAGTCCTGCTGTAACCAAAAAACTGCAGCTGCCAAGCCAGTTGCCCTTTAACAGGACTGGGGATGTAAGTCCTGGGCAATCAAGAGCAGGCAGCTCTAACCTATGTATCCTCTTCAGCAGACCTACGCAAGTGAGGAATCAGATCATATCCTTCACACACAGGAAACAAAGACTGGAGCTAATTTGAGCTTCGTGACTCACTTGTGAAACATGAAGGCCCATCGAAGTGCCCCTGAGATTCAGCACTGAAGTTTTACTGTGATAAAAGGCATTGCACCCACGCATTGCTCAGTAAAACACATCCTGAAAACTGAAACAGGTCCCACAGATCCATTTGCTCACCCACACTCCAGCAGATACAGCTAGACCTAAAACCCAGTCTTTTATAATCCTAAGTTCATCTAGAAAAATGTTCTAAAACACTTGGAAACCACTGGGCCTTCACAAAGCTCTCCTGGTCTATGGAACAAATCCAACACTACTCCCATATTCCAAGTGATACCAGTAGATTACAGGTATTACACCATACCTACCTTGGAGTATCTCAGGGTAACCACAATGGACTGCACCATGACAGGAAAGAAGTAACTTAAGATCCAAAAACACATACAAAGCATAATGTTAAACTGTATATCCAAAACAATGATGCTGTGTCCGGCCATTTGTTGGGAAACAAGTCTTATTTTGGTTTACGTTTGAAGGGCACTCTGTTATGCATCACAGAGCCACATGGTTGCTTTAAGAAGCAATGTGGTTGTCGACACAGTACTTTATGCACCACAAAACACCATTTTAATAGTGGTAAATTTAGAAATAGGAAAATGGAGAGTCCCAGTTTGATACCGGGAGCCACAAAAACACACTCATCAAAATCACCTCTGAAGAAAGCTAGAGAAACTATAAAGAGCTGAGAGGGTTTAATGATTTTCTTTGAAATCACTTGAATTTTTATATTCCTTCTCTGATTTGACTACACTGCAATACTTTTCAGTTCATCAACATTCTTCTGGAACCCAGGATCTCACAGTAAACCAGAAGTTAAACCTACTTTGGGTAGGAAGTTGGACCTTTCTCCTGAGATCCTTTACAGAGATCTCCTGAGGTCCTTTACAACCTAAACTACTCTCTGATTCTATAATTTCACGGAGCATCTAATACACGATGGCTCTGGGAGGAACTTGAAGTCTGTTCTATGTTCTTAGCAGTTCCAGGACAGTCACAGCATGCAGCTGGTCTTGTTCATTTAAATATCAATCATCTGAAAAAAACCTCAACTTCCTTCTGAGCATGCAGAGCTGCATGATCTTGCAGACTGTTTCTAATAAGAGTAATGCAACCATGTATACTAAACTGCCTTATGCCATGAAGTTTGTTCATCCAGTCTTCAATTAAAACAGATATCCTTCATCTGCCTGTAGAACTAAAAAGCTTTATCTTTTTTTTTCTTACAAGTCAAGACATCAAAATTTGGCAGCCTGGATTCCATAACATTTGCCTGCAACTCACTTCCTTCTGCAAGGGTGTTCCTGCTTTCAAAGCAGCAATACAAATAAAGGGCTGCATTACTTTCAACAGTAACATATCAGGTGTTCTTCTCGGCAGAAAGTCCCCTTCATACTCCAGTCTACTCTTACACTCCTCTTTGGCACTTCAAAGCAGAGAACCTTTTAAACAGTGTCACAGGAAATTCAGGAGACAGAAATTTCATTTCCTTAAGTTTTTCTCTCCAGTTGTCCCTGTTGCCAGGGAAGAAGAGCAGTATGGGGGGGGGGGGGAGGGAAGGCAGATGGCTTCAGAAAACTTAGAATTAGTATGTTCTAATTATCAGTGGAGAAAATCAAGGAGATGGAGACAAACCATGTAAATAAAATGTAATGACACTTCAACTTCATCATAATAATTTGGTGCTAGCTATAATGGCTCTACTCTTGAAGACAGTGAAAGAAACCTCCCTTTTACCTGACTTTGAAACTTTCATATAAACTAATGATGCCCCAAGACAATTCTCCTTTTCCCCCTTATTCTCCCAAAGATTCAAATTTGTTTAGGAAGGGACTCTGCAGAGTGAAGTAAAGGATTTCTTAAGGCTCATTGGTAGAAAGAGCCTAGAAGAACAGAGCTGTGATACAAGGGTCCCTTCAAGTGTAGTTTAGATCATTAGAAGCATTTATTGCTAACGAAGAGAAATTAGTCCAATAAATGCATCTAGCACCTTGCTCCTGATATGGTGAAAACAGGTAATTTTTTTTTTTTTTTTTTTACAGTCTGTTTGTGACAAATTAGGCCATTAAGTAGAAAACAGTAGCAGGTGTTCTGTCTTACCTGAGGCTGGTGTCTGTGTAAGGCATAGCCATTAGCTGAGAATCTGCCTTCTTGCTGAGGGAGCTCTGAAACGGGGCAGGGAATAAAAAGGTGACACAAAGTGAAAACAAAAAGCATTTTCTTGGTTTGGCACTACACACAACATGATGCACATCTGTAGCAAACAGTCAATATATAATGGGGTGCAGAGGTTAATCAGTGCCCTCCACAACAAATGTGCATTTTTCCCACTATGAAACATGAATAACTGAGATGGCCAGCAGTCAAGCTGTAACCACAAAAACCCCCAAGTGCTTTACTACAGCCAATTTGAAGTCACACGTTCACAGACAAAGAGGGGAAGCTGGCACCACACACAACAGCTGCACATACTGTGTCATTCAACTGCAAAATTTGCTATCACTGACGTCAGATTTGCAGAATTCTTCTGAGGTCAAATCACTTTTTACCACGGCCAAAATATACTACCCATAACACACTTCCTGGTGTTTGAAACACTCGAAGCACCTGAACTTGGCCTATTTAATGTTCTACCATTCTCCTTTGGCCATCAGGGAGAAGAATCTGAAGTTTAATATTCAACACTTTCTCTCTAGAAAAGTGTGGTATTTCCCACACTCTGAAGTTCAACTGTTTTTAAAGCTGTTACTACCGCTTAATCATATGAAACACTTTCAAAATTCATGGTCTTAATTTCAACCTCACTATTGGTATACCACGTAGATGAAAAGAATTCTAAAAAATGGGAAGTGTCAGCACAAATTTCATAATTCTGTAGTCTTACCAAAAACATACCCCTCTAGCAAAAAAATGGAAAAAAATGAAATGGAAATATTTCAACAAAACCAATCAGCTGCACTCCTTAACAGTGAGCCAGATCAATGTGCTGTAGGTTGCATTTCTCTCTATTAACCAACTGTTCATTCTTATGCAGTCTTACAGAGAAGTCATGAAAAGGGTATTAATTTCATTTTAGACAACAATGAACATATTCTGATGACTGCTAAAAAAAAAGAAAAACTTCTAGACTGAATCCAAGAGCAAGAATGGAAGAACTCTGCCAACATAATAATCAACCAAATACAAAAATTCCAAATGGGACGTGTAGGGTACTCTGTTTACAGGCACTGTTGCTACTTCTATCTATAATGACAAGAGCGGACAAGTAAAAGAATATTTTGTTACGCTGTCTGAAATTATCTTGTCATGCTGACTCACAAGTACAAACCTGCCTACCTGCATAACCCGCGCTTTCTGCTGTTGGTTATTTGATAACCTTCTAGATCTTGTTCGTTCCACTTCATGTCTATGAACCCATCCTCGAAGTTCGTGATTCAGCCTAGAAAAACCCAGAGCATTAACAGACGTTCTGAAGAAGAGTGGCAGAATTGCTTAATTTTAGAAAACAGTTTAACTAGCTACTACAAGGTAATGCAAATTACTACTGTTGTACTTTATAACAATTTATTTTTAATACCAGAGTAAGAAAATTTAATTGTAAGATTAAACTTATGAGGGAATTCATAACGGAATATCTATGAAGTACTGGGATTACAGATGTTTCAACATAAAGCAGATACAGTACTTTCTTTTGCTCAATGAACAGTAATTCTGAAATTATTGGAAGGACTACTGAAATTTAATATCAAAAGTTGATCAGTTCAAGACAAATACTAGCTAAGAAGGCTACAGTATGGCAACTAAATTTGAGACAAGGAATGGACAATGCAGAACAAGCAGAGATAGCTGTTTTCTAATAGCGAATAAAACACATCTGCAGTGTCATGTTCAGTCTGCTTGCATCAGAAGCTGAAGAGTAGAAGACCATCTTTTATGTATTTCAGATGGAATAGGCTTTTAGCTGGATTTGATTTTCATATTATGAACATTTCTATATATGAAGTGACTTTTATTCTATTTCTACTGAGTCATGAAAAGCCTCCAGGAAATCAGAAAATTGTTAACTGGTTATTACAAATGACCAGAACGAAAACTGAGTGAAAATCATCACCAAAACCATAAAAAAATTACAAAGATACAAGTTGATCTCCTGTCTCTATGGTAGTAGACATTGGACAGTGCAGATGCTTACAGAGGCACTAGTCTCATACTAGAGGAACACTGTGAATGGACAATAACATCATTCACAGCTGTCTACATAGTAGCACTCATCAATTTATAACTAAACTCCTTATAAAAGCTTAAATGCTCAGAAAAGGCTGTTTGCTCACCTCAGTGACTCTGTCCGGTTAATCAGGGGCTGACAGGGGGGTGGGGGTGGTGAAATATATAACAGTGGTTCTTCTGAGACTATCATCAGTGCTTTGTTATCAGATACAGAACTATCATACCTGGGGGGAGAAGACACAAAGAAATCCCTTAAAATACTTTTTCCATGAACCTTTGACCAAATCCAGAGAATATGCACTACCATCAGCAAACCCACAAAGGTTACAGCTGCTCAATGGGACCTTTGAAACAGGTGAGTAACAATTTCTAGCAAATATACAATGGACTCAGTCAGTTCCCCAAAGGGGTCTGATAGCACTCAACACAGGGAAGAGAGATGAACATTAGCAGATGTTGGATTTCTTCCCAAACAGGCCAGATATTGAAATAAAAAGTAGTCTGTAAAAATATTCCTCATAATATGAAAACAGTAAGATCTCTGCAGAAGCAACTTTCTCTTTCATTTCAGAGCTGTGCAAGATTTGCTACAGAAATATTAAATTTATTAGCCACTAAAGCCATACAGATGTAAAGACCATGAGCTATATGACAGTGGAACAGCCACAAACTGGATTACAACAAGGGGAGAGGATTTATATCTCCAACAGTCTCCAGAAGCTAGCTTAGCTTTGATAAAAGGGGAAAAAGAGAATGTATTTCAACACAAAATTCCACAGCACTTTCAGCAACAAAAATTCCTTTCTCCTGGTTATCTGTATCTCCTTAAGGGTTAATTACCTATCACCAAATACCTATTATAAGTTCCTTTCTTGATAGGGTATGAATATGACAGCCTTAGTGCTAGTTTTGACAGAGACTTGTAGCTCCTAAACCTCAACTTCTTTCTGAAAAATTGAACATAAGAGCTTATGAAAACCTTATCCACATTCCCCTCCCTTTCCCAGCTTTCTCTCCATCTTCGTATCTGCTTCCCGTTTACTGCACCTAGAACTGATAAAGGAGAATATGCAGGAAAGAGCTCACAGCTTGCCAAAAAACAGGGAGAAAGAGCAAAAGAAAAGGAGGAGATACATGCACTAGAATATCTTCCTAAGAGAACCACCCTACTACTATGTCACATAAGTCATGGTATGCAACGTGCCATACAGGACACAAAGCCCTCCCCATGGCTACAGCCTTAAAATGCTTTTGATTTATTGCCTTCTTTCTGCATGGTAAAATACATTAGAGCTTTCTGCACATCTGTGCCTGGCTTTGTTCAATCAGCCAAAACACTTTACTGGAAAGGGACAATCTGATAGGATAAATCGTGTAAGGGGAAAACATGAGCTGGATTAGCCAGACTTCAATCTGGAGACAATTATATGTTCACTTGTGCACAGAATGCTAGAGATCTTCTAGAAGCTTGAAAGCAACTACGTAATTAAATAATGGGTAAGCATAAAGATGGACTCAGAGATTTCTAAAGTATAGTGCTGAGTTCAGAGTATATTCTTAATTGTGAATTTCCCTAGCCTTCTCCTGAACACCTAAAAAATAAATACTCTGGCTTGAAAAGTAAGAAGAGAGAGATAATACAACCAATACCATAACTATGCAAGTTAAAATAAGGATCAGGGAAAAAAGTAGAGAGATGAAGAACTGAAGAAGGTCATTAAAATCTCCATGATATACACTTGTTTATATGTTCTCTTCCACTACACTGTTCCTAACACCATACAACACAGCCAGAAGTGTATGTTTCTGAAGCTGTATGTATTGGGTAATCTTGTAGATAACAAAATTGTATTCATTTGAAAAGCAACCTGGTAAATCTTGTTAAACAATAAAACAGTAAAGGGATCAGCTTTCAAAATACTGTGTTTGTAAACTCAGTTGCTGTAGACCATAGAATAGTTAGGTTGGAAAGGACCTTAAGATCACCTAGTTCCAACCCCCCTGCCATGAGCAGGGACACCTCACACTAAACCATGTCACCCAAGGCTTTGATCAACCTGGCCTTGAACACTGCCAGGGATGGAGCATTCACAGCTTCCTTGGGCAGCCCATTCCAGTGCCTCACCACCCTTACAGTAAAGAATTTCCTCTTTATATCCAATCTAAACTTCCCCTGTTTAAGTTTTAACCCATTACCCCTTGTCCTATCACTACAGTCCCTAATGAAGAGTCCCTCCTCAGCATCCCTATAGGCCCCCTTCAGATACTGGAAGGCTGCTGTGAGATCTTCACGCAGCCTTCTCTTCTCCAGGCTGAACAGCCCCAACTTTCTCAGCCTGTCTTCATACAGGAGGTGCTCCAGTGATCATCCTTGTGCACAATACTCCAAGTGAGGTCTCACGAGAGGGATAGCACTGCCAAAAAGGTTACCAAATGGAAGGGCAGTGAGGTCTGAAAGCACAGTTGCCCCCTACCACTAAAAATATGTTAAAAGTTTTCATCTTACCTATTACTCTTCTCGGGAATTATGTCCCCAGGTATTTTCTGAGCTGTGCTGGACTCCTGCCTAGCTGAGAACTCCAGAAGATTTCTGGTCCTGTGGTTGGAACTCGCAGTGGAATCAACTCCATTGGGATTCTTTTCAAATACACTGGAAGACATAATAACCATAGTAAAACATATCACATATATAAAGGGACTATAAGACACTTTACTGTAAGGTGTTAAATACTCAGGTGGGTTAAGTTTCTTGTTGCTGCTATGTTACAGGGATAAGGCTCATGTCATAGTTAATGTAAAAACATGATGTGACATTATATTACTGTCATTCAAACCATTGGAAGCAGAAAAGCTATTCTGCTCTCTTTTTCAGTTTTGTTTTAAGGATTTTGATGTTCTTGTTTTCATGTTCCTCTGTAAGCTTCACTTGATGAAACTGTGATCTGTTTGTAAACTGGACCTGCAGGCATAAGAAAATTACTTACATTCAAATAACAGTACCTCTGAACTTTAACTTTCATCAGCCTCAAAGCTCAGTTGACGTAGTTTATTTGAATACAATATGCAAGAAAAATATAGCTACCAAATTCCGTGCAGCTGCAAGCCTGGAATATTAGGCCAGACAGCTAACAAAACTATATACAAACTTATATATGTTTAATTCTACTTAGATTTAGAAACATTGGCAGGGCCCGCAATCCCATCTACGTAGCAGCAGCAGGCCATGGTCCCAAATACTCTGTCTGCGCTTGCACTGAATGATCTTCCCCTGGGGGATGCTTAGCCAGCCAGCAGAAGAACGTCTGTGTTGCTCTCCATGCAAATCAAGGTAGCAGCATTTCCATGTGAGCTGGAAAAATGGCCAGGCGACCCCTATACAAGATTGGCTGCATCCTTAGTTCAGAAGGGTGATTGAAATGAAAGATCTTAAGAGCACAAAAGCAAATCTTCAGTATACTCTCTCTAGAGGCTAGCTTTACTCTTTCATAAACACAGTTGCTTCCTGAAATATGTTTATTTACAAAATCAAGCCCTAACCTTCTTAGCTGACAACAGCAGAGCATCTCCAGCAGCAACACAGAGAAATATAAAAAACAAGACCCAGCATGCTGATGAGATCTTTGTCATGCATGTTGATCACTGCCTACAGAGTACATTTTAATTCATGCCCCATCTCCCTTGTGGAGCAGAGCATAAACTCTGCAGGGAAAGACTTCATCTGTTACATGGCATCACTTTGCAGCACCCAATGAATACAAATGGTAATAACAGAGAAAGGCAAGAACTAGTAAGAAGGGCAAATTAAATACTACACAACTAAGCAGAAGGGACATAGACATAGTTGCTTAGCAATCCCCTCGCTTTTGCCAAGACAGTTGTGCTCCTGTTAGCAGTAACCCAGGTTTCCCCTTGAATAACTGTCACATTCTGCAGAACTGCTGGAGCCAGGGCAATCTCAGATCCAGGCTGACATTGCTTTGACTGCCCCTTCTCCTTCAGGTTTTCAGGCAGCAGCACAGAATCAGGGCAGCAGAAATGCTACAGGCTCTGTTTTCACTTAGTGACAGTGGGCAGAAAGGTACTTACAGTTTCCTTGCTGTATATGTACATTTGCATACAAATGTCTCATTGCTATTGAACAACGTGGAAAGCTGGATGGTTTATTCACAGCCTCACAGATCAGGCAACACCAGGCTATCCGATTTTACAGAAACAATGGCCACTATCTACTATATTTTATGAGATCATGTTTCTTCTGTTTCAAGGATGAAAGCATCAGCACAGCTGACAGTGTCTCAAGCCCAGAACCAGAGCTCAAAACTAAAGCTGCTGCTTAAAAGGATGTTGTATGTTCCTGCTGGAAGACACTTATCAGTGAAATGCCCCTGCTCTACCTAATTTGGAGCCATGACAGCTAAAAGTATATGGAAGTTTAATCATGAAACCAAGAATATCCATCAAAAGATCTGAAAGTTGTAGCTCTCCTGCCAACCATTTCTACACAGCCCAAAGTGCATCAGCCTCCAGTGTGTTGATGAACCTACTGCATCTGGCATTTTTTCCTATCCTACTTCTCTACTTTCTTGTTCAAAATGACACATCAATCCAGAGAAAATTTCCCTGCAATTATTTAGCTAAAGCTGACAAAAACCTAGTCAGCAGAACTGTAACAGATCTGAATTTTTCCATAATGGCTCTTCCTTAACGGTTGCTGTGTTCTGCAAAGGCAATTCTTGTTATTTAGTTGTTTCTCCTAATTTAGTTGTTTTAGCTGTACAGCCACTCAAACCCACATACACACCTCATTATATTTGCTTTAAAAGAAAGGAAATTTTTATTTTTACTCTTCTCATTCTTAAAACATCTTAATCTTGCAATCATAATTTAAATTTCACTTTTTGCAGCAGCTAAATATGGGATGTTTTCAGATTGGATATAAGGAAGAAATTCTTTACTGTTAGGGTGGTGAGGCACTGGAATAGGTTGCCCAAGGATGTTGTGAATGCTCCATCCCTCGTGTGGTCAAGGCCAGGCTGTACAGAGCCTGGGTGAGATGGTTTAGTGTGAGGTGTCCCTGCCCATGGCAGGTGGGTTGGAACTAGACGATCGTAAGGCCTTTTCCAACCCTAACTATTCTATGATTCTGTTTCAATCTGAAATAAGATATATTCAGCAGTAAAAAGACAGAGGTGAACAGAGTACATTTTGCCATCCTTACAGGCAAAACCCATGGCTCCCACTTCTGAGAACAAAGGCACCAACTTGAGGACAAAATTTATTTTGTATTATTTATGGTATTTATTGCAGTGCTCTTTCCTTTACCAGGACTGTCATTTTCTACAGAATGTCTTTGAAGCAGGGCCGGCAGCAATTTCTGCCTTAAGCTACACGGGCTACATTTGCCTTCCCTTTCAAATTCATTTTTTTAGGGCCTTGAGAAGGACCAAAAGCTTCCTTCTCAAATATGTCTTAAAAAAAAAAAAAAAAAAAACCAAAAAAAACCAACAACAACAACAACAACAAAGAAAACCCTTCATTGCTCCTTTGGTTTGTATCAATGACCCCAAACCAAATGAACTTTCATTCTGAATGAGGAAAAGCTCCACAACTTGAAATACTGCCTGTTTCCACCTACTGGTTACTTGAGGAGTTTTGCCAGTTTTCCCCCCATCTGAACAGATGACATCGTTGTTCTGTGGTATCATTTCTTCCCCTTCCTTACTCCCACAAGAGGTCACTTGTGCAGTTTGTCTGTAAATAGGGCTCCATCTTCAGGTAACAGAGAGGAGAGGACATGTAGGTAACTTATCTTCTGACTTCTTACTCTCAAAGACCTTTCCTTGCCAAGTGGGTACATGAGAGTATCACACTGGGTATCAGAAATATTACTCCTTTGACATCTCAAATTGACAAGGGGGAAAAGCATGATTTTAGACCAAGAAATCCCTTAAGCAGGATGGACCACTCCTGCAGAGGTGCATCTGGAAACACCTGCAGCACCTGGAAAAGCACCTGGAAAAATCTGAGGCATACTGAGTTTTACAAGTGCTAGGCAGAACAGCTACAATGCAAGCTGGAACAGGAAGCATCTACAGAGCAGATCCCAACACAGTTACACTAAAGATGAAGTCAATACTGAGCACTTAAAAACATCAGGTAGAAGAGACTTTGGAAACAGTGACAAAGAAAGGTAGATGATCCCATTTTTCCACTGGGGGAAAAGAAATCTTCAGAAAAACAGTATTTTCAGCTAAGAGATCAATAGCGGCTTAGAAGTTTTTATATGACAGATAGCAAAAGCATGAACAATATTTTATTTCTGCTGGGCTACAAGATGAGAATTTGGAAAAGAAAGAACATTTTGGTGTATCTGTCCTGAACAAGTCCTACTACTTGCAGGAACTGGAGTTGCAGTCCCACATTAGAAGTCAGGAAAGACTGGAGCTGAGAAACAGCTCTGCTTAAAAAGATGCCCAGTTAGAGGTTGGAAGCTGTAAGCTTTTTCTGTTTGGCCACACTTACACACCTGGGGCACCTACCGAGGCCTTGAAGTGTACATTTGGACATCCCAGATACTGTGAGTATTAAGGGTTTTCACAGAGCCACAAACACCCTGTCCAAGCTGGCTGAGCTATCAGCTTGTTTAAGATGCAAAACTCGATCCAAGGAAAAAAAGAAAGAACCACTAAATACTTCATGCAGATGTTTGTTCTAAAGTGTAGATAAATTTGATTATAGGAGGGAAAGAAAAGCAACACTCCTGTCATGGTTTCTCCAGGCGTTTAATGGCACCTGATATTTTAGCTGTATTTTTACTTCTTTGGTTTGAATGTCAGGGTGATAAATGTGAAAGCAAGTCTTGCCAGGAGCCCAAACTAAATTTCATTTGTACTTCTGGCTGAACAAACCCCGTGCACTTCAAGTTTTTGAATACTGACATTTAAGTTCTACAGTAATTTGTAGATGAAAGCCAACAGTGATATCATAACAGAGTTTTCTGGGGATAGAACCATTTCTGAATACGAGCTGGGATGTTTCCAATGGGCTAAAGTTGACATTGCAAGAAGACACCAAGCAAGGACCTTGTCCTCATCCTAAGTGATTCCAGACAAGGCTGCCAGCATGCCAAATGCTCTCTGGAAAGTATTTCCTGTTTCTTATTCCCGGAGAGGGCACCATCTGCTGACAGCAAGGCACCGCCTTCCCATGCCAGGCTGTTCCAGAGCTACCCTCTGTGAGTGCTCAGCTAATAAGAGGAACCTGGCCCCTTTCCTCTCCTAGGGAGGATGGGGAAAGCAATCCAAACTGGAGGGATAACCTTTGTGGATTTTTGCGCTTTTCTTTCTTTAAAAAAACCAATTTACTGATCATAAAGCTGTTAGAAAAGAAAGGAAAAAAATCAAGTATTGGCACCCAGAGCATTTACTTTTGCTTAGAAAACTATATACAGTTACTTGGAAGTGGGTTCGATCTTACTGACAAAGCTTGGGCAGGCCTGATGCAAACTGTCTCAACTGCAATGTTCATTCAAGGCAAAAACTTTTGGCATTTTGCTCCCAGCCCAGCAGATGAACACCTGGAGCAAAGAGCAAGCTATCAGAGTGCATCTGGCATTCTGCACAGGCTCTGCACCAGCAGCAGCAGGACAAG